GGCGGTGCCAATTTTATCGACCCCGGAAAGATGATTGGCCGAGTCGACCCACAACCGGGATTTAAAGTGGCAGCCTTGCGAGAGTGTGAGCGCGAGCCGCCGACTCTACAGACATCGACGGTCAAGCGGAAACTTGCTGCTGCGGGATGTAGAGCCAGCGGCAATTCCGCATGTTTCTTTCTGATGTGCATCAGGGTGGCGGGGGGGGCTGGGAGCTCGCGAAGGCCGCACGACAGGCAGACGCAGCTCATCGCACTCCTCCGGTGTAACGAAAGGAAAAGTAAAATTAAGATTCTGATACTCGTTCCGTTTTGCATTCCAAAGTTTGTTTAGCGTCGACTGTTCCGTGCTCCTCCCCCACCACCCCCCAAATCTCAACAAGTTCTCGCCACGGTGCCGGCAGACGCAGCGACCAAGTCGTAGGTGCGGGCACAGGGGGGGGGGTGCACGGGGACGACTGCCCCCTCCCCGAGACTCTCTCTTGGGATGAGGGCCACCGAGTCTCTCGGTGGCTCTCACCTGCTGTGGAATAACAGAGATCAATAACAGAGATGATTATCAATATCAGAGATCTATAATACATATTGTGAACGTGGGGTAAGTCATGTGTCCCCTAAATTATTCACGTCCATGGGTCCCCTTGGCTACTTGCCCTTCCCACAAACTCCCAAATGGGTCCGGTGACCCCCCAGTTGATCAATTCTGCACCCTAATTGACTATCGGGACATTTTTGTTGATAAGGCATCAAAATACAAAATGGGCCTTAATCCAGCAGTGGGCTTGGTCTAGGCAGATGTTGATGACGAAATACAAGAGGCATCTTATTATTCTGTGCCAAGTAGGAATGCATTGAATGAGTAGCAGACTCTTTACACATTCATCCATTTGAAGTGTCGATATTAAATAAACGCGAAGACGTGGAAGTGGGATGCGGGGGCAGCGTGATCGGGGTTGCATTAACGTCTCGCGTGATAATCCCGCTTGGAGATGCCTCGTCTCCGATGCGCTCTCTCTGTCTCTATCTCGCCTCTTGTTTACTTATTCACTCACGGCGTTTCCGCTCGAATGTAAAAATAACGATGTTGGAGATTCCACCACCACCTCAGGCCAGCGACCACCCAACCCAACACCCCCCACTCGTGAGACAAAACTACATTCAGAACTGATTCGCTGCTCAAATTCCACGTGGCGATGGAGTCGGACGGGGGAGCCTCGGTCCCTCCGTAGGACAACCGCTGTTAGCCGGCGGTGGCACTCGTTTTATTCACCCGCGGCGTGGGCGGGGACGATGATGGGCCGAGTGACACCGCGGCCTCTGTGTAGGACGGATGTCGATACAGACATTGCCGCGAAGTGAATACATTGTCTTGTCTAACACGTGTCTCTGTCTAACATGTGTTATTGCCAGGCCGTCACTGTATGATGCATTGCACTGTACACGCCGGATCGGCGTGGCGCAGACGTGGGGAGGGGACAGGGGGGAGGGGGCAGGGTGGAAGGGAGGGAGGGAAGGGGGCTTTTGCAGCCCCCATGGTGGTGGAGCGAGGCCCCTGCCCGCTGCAGCAGCGAGGGGTGGCCGCGGCGCGAGCTGACGCCGTTCCGTCGTACCACCATCATCATCATCGTCGTCGTTGTTATTAAACGAGGAGATAGTGGTGAATTAACGGCACACGTATCGCAAAACATTATTAATATATATACAAAACAATAACGATGATGAAAGTATGAATCGCTGCACGATTTCGAGTAAGATTTGTTTCGCGACCCTGTTCGTCTCCCCCCCCCCCCCCCCCCCCCCGGCTTCACCAGGCAGGCGGCGGCGGCGGTGGTGGTACATTCTGTCTGGTGACACACTTCGCAGTGGTACAGCCCGTCTCGTGTCGCTCCAACCCGCCTGTGGCTGCAGTCCGCCCCCTCTCCTCCTCCTCCTCCCCCTCCCCCCGCTCTCTCGCCCGTCCCACCCGTCACGTCGTCCACGCGTTGCGCCGGCGCCCTTGTTTGTGGCTACTTAGGCGCACGTCAGCCGCCAATGACATCCCCGACCATGACCCCTGCCGAGGCTCTCGATGAGCCAACGGAGTAGCCGGGCACATTTTGAACGCCGACGGACGGAGGACGGAGGAAGGACGCGGCTTGGCTTTAAGCGTGGGAAATCGGACGTGGCGGAGCCGAACGGAATTGGGGCTGTCGCTCCCGCACGCTTATTTCCAGGAAAAAGCAGCAAAAAGCCCACGGTGCCTCGAGAGCGACGCTAATGCCCGATGTGGATTTGAAGTCGTGCGCGCCACCGTTCGTGGTCGCGCGCCGTCCCCGAAGCCACTTGGCCGGGTTACGAGTGCAGCCACGGCGGCCGCTTCACGCCGGGGTCGTCTTCCCCGGTTTAAATGGCTTCGTTGTGATGCAGCGCGGTTCCGCAGCGCTACCGCCATCATTAATTCACGTGGGGAGGCCGCCCCGACAGCTGGTTACTTACATAACCCGAATGGATTCGGCCATAGATCAAAGTGTTCTTCACACGGGGGAAAAGGCAGCCTGCTGAAACTCCACCTATTATTAAGAAAATGCATGCAAGCCGGCTGAATGTATTACACACAAAGATATGCTTTCATGGCTCCATTGCTTTTTTTTTAAATCAAAAGCCGACCGACAATGCAAGTCACGAGCGCTGTGCGCTCGAGAGAAACTGAGGCGCAGAGCCGAGAGCGAGGCGGGTTCACGCTGCGGCAACGACGATGGGTGGCGATGGTGGTGGTGGTGGTGGCGATGGCGGTGGTGCCACCGAACGTGGTGGCAGTTTGCGGCGATGTTTTACAGCCAAAATGGTAATTGTAACCACTCCCGCGAAGGCGCTGGCGGGTGATAATGGTGGATAATTGCGACGGCTCAGACGACAGCGACCACGAGGGTGGCGCTCCCCTTAACGTGGCACGCACGACGGCAGTCGAGTTTTGCCGAGCGGAGACGTTCGACGGCGCCCGCTCTCGATCCGCCGTCTGCCCGGTGGCGCTGGCGCGCGCCGCTTTACAATTGAGAAACCCTCGCGACCCGCTCGGTCCGGAGCCTTCGCGAAAACCATAGCGCGGTATGGCAAACGCCATCGAAGGGCTGAATTAGCGGAGCACGCGGGTCTCGCCCGGCCGCAGCAGCACGCCACCCACACCAGGGGGGGGGGTCCTGCAGACTGTGCCACCCGATCAGGCCGCACGTGCGTGTGATGAAGCTGGTGCAGTGGCACTGGCGGAGCGCTCGCTGCCGACAGGAGACGGTGCCGCATGGACGGTTCGGACGTACTTTGCTGTGCGTGCAGTGTCCGGCTGGAGTAGGTTCATAAGCAGCTCGGTGACCTTTGCTGGATTTGAGCCACACGTCACGGCGAGCTCATGGCGTGCAGCGGATCGTGCGCTGCGTCACGAAACCCGGCGACCCGGGTTCGATTCCCGTCCTCGGCGGACATCGGTGGCGAGTCAAATCCCAACCGGCCCTGGACGCGCCCCCTCTACTCAGTAACCCACATTGCCCAGCGCGGTGAAGTATGGTCAAGCAACAACCATGGCCGACATCGTACGGGGGCAGGCCATCACCATCCAGCAGTGGATTGGAAAAAGCCTGAAGAACACGTACACGTGTGTATATATTAAAAAAATCGGCTACATGTAACCGCATGACATGCATTGGAAATAATTTAAAGAGAATGGATTTTATTGGAGAGTGGGTGGATTGCTGGAGGCTAGAGAGGGAAATGAGACGATGATAAGGTAAAGGTGTAAATGAAGGCACTTCACTGGCAGAGAGTCGAACGGAGGGGGCTCTGAGGCTGCACGTGAACATGGGGAGGGAGTGAAAGTTGCGTTCCACCAGGGGGAGGGAAGTCCAGGCAAGGAGCGACCTCCTTCCGCCTTGTGAGATCACCATTCGCACAGCCCTCGCCTCACGATAGGGCTTCATTTACAGAGGCTAAGGGCCGAGCGCGACTGGTGAACGTTTATAAGGGAGACTTACCGAGCCTCGGTGTTTATAAGAACATTTTTTTGACTTTGGTGTCAATTTTCACATTTGAAGTGTAAACAACGGTGCCGCTACATAACGGCCTAGCAGTGCAAGTGAGGTCCCGAGATCTGCGATGTTCATTTTGCACGAGACCGCAACAATTCGGTGGCACTGGGCAGCGTCAGAAGTGGCCCGCGCGTGCCCATGGGTGTCCATGGGTGCCCGCCGTGGGCGGTCGCGCTGGCACTGGTCGCCAACGCTCTTGCCCCTTACGTTTCCTTTTCTAAACAAAATCTGAACGGTGAGTGAACATTTAGAAATCGGTAACTCGAGCGAAAAATCGAGAAATCGTTTTTTGGCGCGGGCAAAAGGCCTTCAAATGGAGAGGCGCACGGCACCCGCGTTAATCACACCCACGGCCACAGGAGTCGCGTTTGTTTACAGTTCTTACATAAACGGGTTTTCTCTTGCCGCGCGCACACGTCTCGGCCGAGAATTCCAGCGCATGTTGTGAGAGACCTGTCTCGGGTGTGAATTACAAGCCGGTTCGCTCCTTACCCCCACACCGCGTCTCCCCAATCTCCCCCCCACCCCCCAACACTGCAGCCCACCCCCTCCTCCTCTCCTCCCTCACCCCGTCTCCTCCCTTGCCACCTACTTCACAAACACGTGCCAAAAGGTTCCTGGGGCTTGCGAGGTCTGCGGAGTTAATGAAAGAGGGTGCTTGCCTAATTGGGCTTAAATGCGGATCGATTTGGGGGCTTGCGGGCCGGGTGCGGCCCCGAGTAATTAAATGCTGGCCGCCGGTCTCGCATCGATTGGTGCGCGGCGCTTGACTCGCTCACGGGGGGCGGCAGGTGGGGTCGAGGTGGGAGAGGGCTGCGGGCTGCTGAGACGGCGGTGGGGCTGCGGTGGGTCGACGTTTTTTTCCGGCGCGTCGATGCGTCGTCGGGTTTTCGTACGGGGCGCGTCGTTTTCGGCTCTGACGTCTCTCCCAACGTTTCGCTGCCAGCTCGCCGCCGGGGAGAAAGAGACGATGGTTCCCCGGCACTCGGGGCGGAAAGGGGAGGAGGGCGTCGCGCCGAGCCACGCACGGCCCGGACATGCACCGGAGAGCCGCCAGCCGCGGAAACGTACACGGAGTGACGCTTCTCTGGATCTGTTTCAGCAAACTGTGAGCGCTGAGCGTTTGGATGCCTGGCTGCCCGTGTGTCGTCTGTGTCAAGTTGTTGTTGCTGCAATAATGCTGCTTATGTCACCAGCAGGGGAACAGGTCGCCGAGGTCACGCGTGTGTCGGCGTGTATTTAGTTGCTATGTGACTCTGGCCAGAAGTGGCCCCGCGGTTCAACGAGCGCTGGGGCGGCGTTCGTCTCCTCTCACGGTGCCGGTTTCCGCTGAGTGGACACCGGCACCGGTCTCCACCGTACGACCAGTCCCGCCAAACCTCCTGACATCACGAGCCGCATACCAATATCTTCATACGAGACACAGGATGCACACGCTGGTCACGTGGCAGGCTCAGCTCGTGCTGCTTGGCTGTGGAGTTTTGAATTAAAAAAAAATCTGCGGGAACTCCCCGGGGGCACTGACGTCCGCCTCTGCTTCCATGGGCGTCCGCAGATTTTTTTTTCGTTTCAAATAACGTTGTGTCGAAAAGTAAAAAGAATGGTCGTGTCTGTGTCGAGCCATGCTTGAACTGTCCGGGAACTGCACGTGGCCCACGAGCCACTGTTTGGCCACCCCCTATATGTTAGATACAGTGCAGGGTATATGCATATAGGGTTCCCAAAAAGTGGTACTAAGTTTATACACCTCCGAGGGATCGTGGGCTGTGTCCAACACCTTCCAGAATTTGACCTGGCAGCGTTGCGATTGTGAGTCGAATACTCTGACTGACCACAGTGGCAGCTGGCGAGATATGTGTCCGTGGTCATCCGTCCCCCAAATGACAGAGAATGGCATCTCGTGTCACCCAGCGCATGCTTGCGTGCATGTGGTGTCGTGTTGTGTCTGTGCTGTCAACGTTATCACGCGAAAGGGGAATCATTTACCAGCTGAATGCAACTTTCCTGTGGCTCTCCGATGTGTTTGGGGGTTGTGCCGAGTGCTGTTCACCATGGTGTCCGACGTTCGCGCTCCAGTGGCTGGGAGCCTTTTCGGGACTGAAACCAAAAAACAGAACAAAATGTAGCAGCCGTAGAAACGTGCGAAGCAGTTCTAGATATCCCTGCGTGTCACATCGCAGCCCAACGACGTGTCGAATATCCCCGATTCCTCTCGTGAAGTAATCAACTCATGGCTCCGTCGGCACAATCCATGCACAAACCAAATACGCAGAGAATATGGCCCTGCATGTGGAAAGAAAAAACTGTAAATGTGTTTTGTACAAAGCCCATTAGCCACACGGCCTTCTGGGAGTGCATCATTTCAGCAGCATCTATTCAGCACATGGGGTAGGGTACAAATATTCTTTTAGGGACAAATATGTGAAGAACGCACATTGTCTGATTTATTTATTTGTTTCATTTATTTTCCGTAACAAGAATTGTTATATATTCCCTTTCATGAAAAGGTCTTGGAATCAATTTTAGTTGGTTTTTGAATGGTAATCCGTGTGCCACTTACACCTTTAATGTTACACGGTCGGCCTGTAATTCATTCATTGCTATTCCACACTTGTAATTGTTAACACCGTCAGTAAGTAGTGAAATAGAGTTACTCATAACAATGCAACATTTGCAATGATTTGCCCATTAAAACCTTCGGAGAGCCTCGAGACGCGTTTCTGAGAGGGCCTCTGCATTGGATTTTCACGAAGGGTAGAACATTTCTATTCTAACATGACGGGGGATATCGCTCGAAGCGCCGCACAGACGGGTTCACGAATCCGCTTGCTGCATTACCAAGAGAGAGTTGCCATGGCTTGGAGAAGCCTTCATCCAGCAGTGGATCGATGACGATGGTAATGATGAGTACGTTACAGTAGTTGAGCTCTCGATAATAGCAATCGGCAACGATTTTCTTTTATTAGCATTGATAACCCAGTGGGTTACATGCCGGATACTTGATGAGATGACCTGATAATGGATTATCCATGCTATCACAGATAGAATGGGCCAATTCTGACCACATAAAGCATAGATAATGGGGGATGGATTGTGCACCAAGGGAAATCGCATTGTACATTAATGAACTCTGCATTATTGGAGTTGATGTGTGTCTGAAACCAGTCCTTGGCCTGCCCTAGGTGGACTCAGCCTTATATTATTACCTGGCTACGTGCATAAATATTAGCACTAGGGAGACGAAGGTGGCTGGGTGTGGTACTAGCCAATCGACCGCATCGTGTGCAATGAAGCGCCTTAACCGGTGGCTCACTCGCAGCCCCTGCAACGATTCTGTTAAAGGCCATCCAGGGGATGTTCGTATTTAGAGTGTGTGTCTGTGTGAGTGCATGAGTATCTGAGCATATACTTGCCTGCGAGCGAGTGCGTGTACGTGTGTGCGTATTTTCTGGCCGAGTGCGCGGGTGCAGTGCGTGTACGTGTATTTGTGTGAGTGTGTGCGTGTATTTGTGTGAGTGTGTGCGTGTACGTGTATTTGTGTGAGTGTGTGCGTGTATTTGTGTGAGTGTGTGCGTGTATTTGTGTGAGTGTGTGCGTGTATTTGTGTGAGTGTGTGCGTGTATTTGTGTGAGTGTGTGCGTGTATTTGTGTGAGTGTGTGCGTGTATTTGTGTGAGTGTGTGAGTGTGTACGTGTATTTGTGTGAGTGTGTGCGTGTATTTGTGTGAGTGTGTGCGTGTACGTGTATTTGTGTGAGTGTGTGCGTGTATTTGTGTGAGTGTGTGCGTGTATTTGTGTGAGTGTGTGCGTGTATTTGTGTGAGTGTGTGTGTGTACGTGTATTTGTGTGAGTGTGTGCGTGTATTTGTGTGAGTGTGTGCGTGTACGTGTATTTGTGTGAGTGTGTGCGTCCACTGGGGATAATAATGTAATCAGAGTCGGTAGCTTGGTGCTTGAGCTGCTGTCCATGCACATCAGTGGCTATCAATATTTGATGTCTGACCCTGTCCTGGGTCTCACCCAGGTTAACTCAGCCTAAAATAACTACGCTACGGTGAATTGCATCACCAGCAGGAGGGACGATGTTGCCTGGGTGTGACACCATGCCCCCCACTCCTCCCCCGCCACAATGACCTCTTAGTTAATCATCTATACAGCCACTCTCAGTCCACCCCATTGGATGAAGGCCTCCTCAAGCCAAGCCTTTCATGGGAGGGGCGGGGGAGGCTCTGACCATACTTCTCCACACGTGGTGAAGAGGAGTGTGGAGGGCAGGATGGGTTCTAATTTCGCTCGCCACTGATTTTCGCCGTGTCCGGGAATCGAACTCGGGTCACCGAGTTTATCACGCGCCATGCTAACCGCTGTGCCTCCGCTCCCCCGACCCAAAAGTATTCCTAGACCACAAATCTGTGCACAAGTTGCCAACCGTGCTAATCTAGCGTGTGACGGTCAGTGCACGAGAGCACAAACGTAGCTACAGATACAGGACCAGCATCACGTGTCTGACCTGGGGACCGAGGTATAGGCGGAGAAACGGAAAGGTCAAATTTGTGGAGGTTGTATATAAAAGGCAATGATTTACCACACACAGATAGCAAAGCACTTGAACACGTTCGTCAATAACACTGTGGCCTTAAAAATAAAATACATTTTCAATGGGCGACGTTTCGAGCAGCGGCGCTTCTCCAGAACACGGGATAGGTTGCCAGACGTGGGGAAATGCTGGACTGTGCTTTAGAAGTGAGCGGACGTGCGTGGGCTTAGGAACGCTTTCATATTGTAATTGAAAATATATAATACAACCATCCCCTGCCACTCGGTGTGGGCAGGTAATTAATTAATTAATTTGGGCAGCAATGCGACGGTCGGATACGTGACGTTGCCCTGTACGTTTGTTTGGCATAGTCGGCGGGACGTAGCGGAGCGATGGTTCTCGAGGCGTGAAGAGGGCAGAGGGCTCGCTCACAAGTGCCGACAAGTACCGACAAGCACGGACGGCGTGCGGCAAATACTCGCTCGCGCACGGTCACAACCGCTCCCGTAGTTTACGCCGTTCGGTCGCACAACACACATTTGTGGCCTGTTTTTCTCCCGACCGCTCCGGTGTGAGACTCTCACCGAGGTTCTTAAGTGGCCTCACGGGAAAATTAGTCACGTGCCGGACAACTCTGCCGTCTCTCTGCCGTCCCTCTGCCGTCTCTCTGCCATCCCTCTGCCGTCCCTTTGCCGCCGCCGCGTGGGGCCCCGGTGAGCTCAAGGCCTCGTGGTGCCGGTGATCGATGGCGCGCGAGGGGACCCCGCCGCGCGCCGCCTCCGTTCCCCCCCGCGCCGCACGGCCCCCCGGCGCCCGGCCGGGGGGCCGCCAGCTCGTTCGTGAACGTGCGGGCCCCCCCCCCCCTCTTGCTTCGTGCAGAGCGAGATGAAAAAAAAATTCTCTCTCGCCTAGTCCATAAATCAGCAAACGGGCGCTGCCTCTTTATGGGAACCGCAACGGAGACGGAGAATTCGGCTGCTTTGTTGCTTAAATCGATAGCGGCGAGAAGCGCACCAGGGTCCCCGCTGGCCCAGGTAGTTTGTGGAGTTTACGAGGGGGCAGGCGAAAGGCTTTGCAAGACGAGACACTGAAATGTGTTGTGCGCACTTAATGATATGCTTATTTTGGATCTCCTGTTTTACGTTCACATAATAAAATATTTTATGATAATGCGTGTTGTATAGTGCCCAGGACATGAGTAAGTGCACGAGGCAGCGTCTTCTGTTGCTCAGCGCAGGCGTCTGAAATGCCCTCCCTGACATCATCATCATCACCATCGCGGTGGTATCTCACGCTACAATTTAAACACAGTCCCCGTGCTAATGTATTCACTGCGGTGGTTCAAGTGAATCCCTGTTTGTATCAGGTGCGCTTTTTTTTTTATTCATTTTGTTTTCACCGCTTTTTTTTTAATCATCAACAGCATCATCGTCATCCTCCTCAGATGGGTGAGATAATCGTCACTGGTGTTGGCCGTGAGCGGCAATCGAACTCGGGTCGCCGGCTTCGTAGCGCGGCGTGCTAACCGCTACACTACCACTTCCCCCATGAACACATGCGCTCACACGCTTAC